TGCTGTTTTATTGTTAATTCGGTGTTCCTATATTGTTTTACTTTCTCAGGTAAACTTTTATGAGTTATCTTACTCTTTTCTTTTTATCAGTGAATTTCCTTGAACATATTAAATTGTTTTGACGAACTCTTGGAAAAGAACTTAACTACTATCTTTTCGGACTAATCAATTGAATAAATTTACCGTAGCAGTCTGGCGGATAAGAATCCCAAGAATCTCAATTTTTGTTTCGATAACATACGTGAAATGGTTCCAGTCAAATATTGAAATGAGTTACCCTCACACGTGATGGTGAGGAAAGTGATTTGATAAATTAAATTTTTAAGTATGTATATAAAAATATGTTAAACTGAATTTCCAAGTATTTCAGAATGCAAGTTAACAAATTAAACCAATTATTTCCTGAAGGCTTGGAATGGAAGTGGAAACAGTTTTCCGAACGATTAGCATCAAGAGATTGATTATCAAATATGCATATAAATGGATACATAATTTCAAATATTATTAATTAAAGATTGTGAAACTAAACTAAATTAATAAATTGTTTTAAACTATATGTCTATATGTACGACACTATATGTATATTTCGTATATATACATATATATATAGAAAGAGAGAGAATATTTTTAATATTGTATAATAAAAAAGCAAAAATATAAACCATTTTATTTAATAATATTGCCACAAAAGAAAATGAGGAAAAAATAAATGAATCGGAGAGCTTAATATTATCTGAAACTATTTTTCATATCCATTTTATATACACATGAATATACAAATGTATTTATAATCAGGGTAATTAATTAAATAAATCAAATTTTGACATATGTTTTCGAATCAAAAATTACACTGCAGAAAACCCCATTTCCTGCACATTCCTTTGTTTGAAAATGTGTGAGAGATAATGTTAAAACTTCAAATTTGTTGCAATATGGTTCATTTTAGATAATCTTGCTTCCTATTAATTTCATTAGATAGTACACCGACTCATTTTTGATTCCAAATATTACATGATAACTGTACTGTTTTATTGGAAGAAAAAGCTCCTATTCAGGATCTTTGATATCTCCTTCTATTGTCCCGAGCTCAAACTTATATCGGTTACCGAGCTTAAACTTATCTAGGTAATCATCGAAACAGCACCAAGAATTTCGATCTGCTAAATCGTTATTTTAAGAAAATTGCATTTAAAGATTTGGCACGTCATTGGGTTTTAGAAAACTCGAGTAAACATTTCTGAAAATTGAATTCATTTCTCTCTTCCTTCATAGGAGAAACTGCAAATGAGCTAAAATAGCAAAATATGACATTAATGGTTTTAACACTGAGCGAGCAATATTTTGGTATTTTTTAAATCGATGAATGCAAAAAATACGAAACTAACGAGGTTGCGAAGTCCACATATTTAATTTTTTCTCATTAGCATTTTGAATGATTTGTTATTGTTTTCACTACGATAATTTAATGTCCTGTCAAAGTTAATTGCTACCACTTCATTAGCGAGGTACGTTTCTTGCAAGTCTCAGATGCAAATATTCTGGAAAAACAAATCGCAGCTCTTTCTTGAATAATTAAGTATTTTCTCTATTTAATAGGTAATAATTTATAGATAATATTTAATAAGATTCTAGATGACTGAAGCTTTCTGATTATTCATTTTTTTTTTATATTTTCGCTCTTTACTAGTCCAAAGGAATGTTAGCCCAGAAGAGCTATTAGTCTCAAAACGCCCTTTTGTGTCGAACCACTATGAACGAGTGCATCAGTTTCAAATTGTTGCCATCAAATATTATCGCCCTGTGTTACATTTAAAGAAAATAAATAATAAAGAATCTTCATGCATGTTTCTCGAATTATGAAAAAACAACGATGCATAGAGCCATCAAATTTTGAATAACGTAGTTATCTACCCAGATATGGGTACTTGGGAACCCGAATCTTGAATTTCGAATTTATTTTCCTATCTTTTCATATTTTTTAACTAATTTTTAATTAGGAAACTCAACAATTTCAAAGCGAGCAGTAGCGACACACTGTGCGGAATCAAATATTTTTATCCCTTGCGCTTGAGATTATCTATGAAAAATTTTAAAGGTATGCTGTTTTTTAAATAATTTTAGTTCAAAGGTGCGTTAGCACAAATCCTCTCGAACGCGTATGTTTGTGTAAATGAAAAAAGGTCCCCTTGAGGGTAATGTAAAATCTGAAATATTTCAGATATTTTATTTTAATAAGTGAAAAGAAGTATAGATTTTAATGTTATTTTAGCTAGAATTATAAAATTTAATAGTATATAATAAATTTGAATTCCAAAGGGAATATTTTTGAAAGGATAACATACACCTGTATTGTTAACTGCAGTGTTTTACTTGGTTTTTGTGCTTATATATCATTTCGTTATCTTCATTAAATAAAATGTGTGAGAAAATTCTTTAAATTGCTCCAAAGTTCATCTGGAACCAAGCAACAAACTATTTCTATGGTCCTTTAGTCTATTTTTTTTCCATATCGCAACATTTAAAAGGTTAGTATCTAATCTATAACTAAAAGAGCATTTCTAGGGCTTCCTTTCTTTCTATCTTTTCTTTTTTCTTATATTTCGTTTTAAAAATGGTAGGAAACGATAAGAGATAAAATCTCTTTCATAGCTCTGAAGTTCAAAATGATTTATTGTCGACGAGAAAAATTGCAGTTATCTTTTACTCGTGTGGGCTATTAAATCTTCATCCCCCAAAAGCATTCAATTTTGAAATAAGTTTCTTGGGTCCCAGCCAAGAGCTAAGAAATCATAAAAGAATTCCCTTCAGTTTCAAATTTGATTTATTTATATTTTACCCGCGCATTCTTGAAAAGAGAAAATGATTACCCAGAAGAAGCAAAGGGTAATAAAAAAATCAGGTCTTCAGATTCAAAAGAAAGTCCTTTTCAAAAGCATTTTTTTCTCCTCTCCTTGCGTTATTGTGGTTCAGCCAGTTGTTCAGAATTTGGCTCCATGCCAGTTGTGTCTTTGTACGTATTAGCAGAAGATATCGTTAAGGTCACTAATTTTAAATTCATTTATTCATTGTACATGATATTCAAATAAAAAACGAAACATAAAATCTGACAAATTGTCTTTTGCTTTTCATTCATTTGCTTATTGTAACAAAATACTAATAATATTACCATGTAGAATTACTTTTAAAACAGTTACATTCCATATTTTAAAGCTGATTCTCCACTGTTGACAACGGAACGCTCATGAAAAATACTGATTTTAATTTTAAAATTTAAATTTCTTGAACTAGATAAAACTTAAAAATCTCTTCATCCATTTTCATGCACGATATTTTTATTTTTGATTTCTGTAAAACCCAATCTGCAAATATTTTAAAGAATTATTTTACAAAACCTTCTCAGCTGAATCATGTTTTTTATATGAATTCAGTGGGAAGTATGAATACAGAATATCAAAGATATGAATCGAAATAGATTGGTTAGGAAATAATATGTATACTTATGGAATTAAGGAAGATAAAGAAGCATACGTTTAATTCCGACCTTCATAGAGTTGAAGAAGCATAAAAGTTAAATTTAATAGCATAAAAGTCCTGATCTTACATCAAAGAGTTTTAATAGTTCGACAAATATGAAATTAATAATTTAATGTTAAAAGTTGTAAAACATTGAAACTGCATATCACACAGAACGAAAAACAAGAAACTACTCATATTTTTAATCTTTATAACAAAAATAAAACGTTGCCCAAAAAATACAATTCTAATTCCAGACGTGACACCTTTTCCCAAGCAGCAAAGAAAGAAAATGAGCAAGCGTTAATTTGGTCTGAATTAATGATATTATATCTATGTAGTCTATAATAAATTACAATTACCTCTCGTCGTGCGCATCATTAGCCGATGGTTAAGACCTCTGAATTCTGTTAGTTCAATCTGTGTTCGATCCCAGATCACGGCTGGCTACGTGGATTATTTAGCAGCTTTTTTCCGTGTGTAATGTGGATATGAGCCAGTTTTCCTTAAAAAATTCTCTTCGGAGACATTCTTACTCTTAGGAAGACAGCTCTTGAAAGCTTTGCCTTTTTCAAATAACTTAACCTTTCTTCTTTCGCCTTCTTATTATAGACAAATCAAAAATAATGACCATGCTGAGAAAGTATTAAACTAAATAGTCAGATTTATGCTTATTGATTGTTATATTTGATTTGAGATGAAATTAAGATATCTTCAGAATTGTCACAAAACCTCACCACTCTGTATTATTTACATTCCATATTCATGTAAGAAACAATTGAGCATTATAAATAGTACCGCGTCAACAAACAGCTTTGAAAATTTCGAAAATGAGTGAAGAAGTTCACTAATATGTATTTTTACTGTATTTTTCTTATTCGTACATTTCTTGGAATCTCGTTGTGGATCAGTGCTAAATCAATCTTTAATATGGGAGATGAAAACAAGTCGTTTATTTTCCGTATCTCAGTCTGTTTCTTTATAATAGATGCTCTTATTATAGTGTGTATATATTAAGCATTTTTAATTTTTCTCAAAATTAAATAATTTTTCTTTAAGCATCGTAATAACTGAAGAATAGTTTTCACATACAATTCATATTATATTAATCGCTGCATAAGTAAAATAGTCTAGGCAGTTATTTATGGCATGAAAAAGAGGGAAATAGGTTGTATGGAACTTACATAAGAAGAAAAAAAGTCATGAAAAATTCATGAAAATTCTTTGTTTTGCATAAAGCCGGCAATTGAGGAACTATGTGACTAAGATTTATGACTAATGTAGTAAATCTGGATTTACAGGATGAATAGCTAAAAGCTTCCAAAATTTTCAGGGACAATAACTATTCATTTATAAGGAATAAATACTATTAAAGTCTATGAATCCATATTTGCACTCCTAAAAATGACGTTATAGGATCTTTTGATAGAATGTTTTTTCTTAAAAAAATATTTAAAGCAATAATTTTGTTATTTATTTTTTTCCAGTCGGTAATCCAGATGCCTGGTTTTCGAAGTCTGGGGGATGAGGAAGATGTTGAGTTTGAATGCAAAGCGTCAGATAAGGGTCTCGAGGCCACTGCTGTGACAGGACCCGAAGGTGAAAACTGCAAAGGTTCTCACAGAAGGCCCATGTCTAAAAAAAGGTTCAGAAAAATAAGGTAAGTCCTGGATTATATTGGATAAATTTATGTATTACATTGTTTGTAAGCAGTACTTATAGGTTTAAACAATGTTGAGAACATGTCAAATTTAAAAGAAAAGTCTAAGATATTTTTGAAACTATTTTGCATCTATTGCATTTACGCTTTTTGAAAATATCCGTTAACCGTGCACTTAAAATCAAACAACGGAGACATCACGCTTGAATTAGGTTTTAATTATATGGTGTTTTTGTTTAATAATGTAAAGAACACATTCTATTAAATATCAGCTTCTAAATGCCGAAATAACCAAGAAATGGTATTATTAGTCCAAAAGGTCACTAGCCTAGAAATGTTATTAGTCCCGAACTGGTATTTTGCGTCGGTTCCTTAAGTCTTTCACCCACTTGTTCCACCAAATTATCGCCCGATTTACTAGATTAATAAGGAAGTAATCGTCTTACTGAACTAAAAATCTGAAAGGTTTCAGATTTTAAATTACGTCCAAAGGGGCGTTTTTTAACATTTTGTGTGTTACCTTTCTTTATTAAATATCATGTTCCTCGCACTTAAACCATAAGATCCAGTGCAACAGCAATATCGCAAAATAATTTTAAAACGAGCATATCTTTAGAATTTCCGATACAGAGACTCACGCGCTGGAGATAAAAATTTTTTTTTTCTGCACAACGTTGCCATTGCTCGCTTTGAAATCCTTGAGTTTGTTAATCAAAAATTCGTCAAAGTTTTAAAAAATAGGAAATCGATCATAAAACAAATTTCAAATTTCAAATTTGGTCTTCCACATGCTCATATTCGTTGGAGGATTACGTTATTCAAAATTCGATGACTCTATGTACCGTTGTTTTATGACAATACGAGAAATATACATACATTTATGCAGATTTTTCATTATTTAATTTCTTCAAATATAATGCAGGACTAACATTTGTGGCACAGTTGAAAAGTGACGCATTATGAGCAACGCAAAACGAAAACATAGTCTTTGGGACTTTGATAATCTATGAAAGTGAGTTTTCTCTTTGGAACCCTGTACTAAACATTAACTTTGATCGAACTCCACCCGAATATTGGCACGTGGAAGCCCGAATTTCGAATAGGGAATTTATTTTATTATCTAATTTATATTTTGCAAAACTTTAATAAATTTTTTATTAAGAAACTCAACGATTTCAAAGCAACATCAGGGCAACATCGTACGGGAAAAAAACATTTTTATCTCCAGCCTGCGAGACTGTCTATCGAAAACTCTACAGATATGCTGTTTTTAAATGTGTTGTTGTTGCGACTTATCTCACTTGTCTAACTGTAACATCAGAATAAGCCCACGAAATTCGTCGTGGCAAGGAGTACAAGATTGCGCCTCTAAGCACCATGCAGGTGACAGTAAGACTTTGCTCAGTTTCGCCCCCCCCCGTGCTGAATGAAAAGAACGCCGGAAGACGGGTCCAACGCTCTCCCCCCCACTCTTTCCATACCACCAACCTCTCGAAAAGACTGCTCTGTTTACTTAAAAGAAAGTCTTTAATTTTATCTAAAATCAACCCTTTTGTATGACAATAAAAAAATTTGGTAAAGCTGGGTTATATATAAAGGTTTAAATAAGCTCTTTGATTTAGTAAGCAGGTAAAATCAGATAATCAATTAAGATTATCCACTATATATTTTTGCATAAGATTATTCATTATATATTTTTACTTTATATCAAATTTATCATCACTCTTAATATGAATGTAATTGATAAAAGTTATGCGAAATTTTAATTTGGAAAAAGAAGGAAAATAAAATCTGAAAGGTTTCAGATTTGAAATTACGACCAAAGGGGCATTTCTTTAACGTTTTGTTTGTTAGCTTTATTTATTAAATATCATATTCTTTGCTCTTAAACCATAAAATTCAGTTCAATAGCAATGTCGCAAAACAATTTTAAAATGAGCATAGCTTTATAATTTCCGATATACAGTTCGACGCGCTGGAGATAAAAAGGTTCCCCGTAGAGTGTTGCCATTGCTCGCTTTGAAATCCTTAAGTTTGTTAACCAACAATTCGTTAAAGTTTTTACAAAATATGAAATCGATAATAAAATAAATTCCAAATTTCAAATTTGATCTTCCACATGCCCATATTCGTAGGAGGATTACGTCATTCAACATTTGATGGGTCTATGTACCGTTGTTTTATCACAATGCGAGAAACATACATTGGGTGGCAACAGTTTGAAAATTGAAACGGACATTTATAGTGATTCAACGCAAAATTGCAAAACGAAAACATTAGCCCTTCAGGGACAAAGCGCCTTTGGACTAATAATTCGTTTCGATATTGGTATTTGAAAATTTATTTTTTCAGATGTATGATTTAAACTCTTTAATAATACTATAAAGTATTTCTCCCGCCTTCTTAGCATGCCTTCGTAGTGTAATGGTCAGCACACTCGGCGCGTATTCGAGAGGTCCGAGATTCGAGTCCCGGGGAGGGCATTGCTCATTTTTCATGACTCCTGCTTCAAGAAAACCTAATGTCTCTAAAATACTTCATTTAAACCTTATGGAAAGTATTATCATAAATATTTTTATTAAACTGATTTTTAAATTGGTCCTTTGTGATAAGAAACATAATTTTATTTTCCATAATGCAAATATGTGACGCAAAATGATACAATAAATTAAGAGCTGTAACAAAATTTGTGAAATCTTATTTTTTAAATATAATTCTAACTTTTAAAAGGATAGACTAACTAAAATAGTTTTTAGAAAATTTGCTATTTTACCTAGGCTTAACCTTAGACTAACGAAACGGCTTATTTTCGAAGATATAGTTATTTCTCGGGTATTTATGCCAAAGTTTTCTGTTTTTAATGTGTTGAAATGATTTGTGGCAACGGTTAGAAATTATTTTCCTCGTTTTCAGCATCAACAGCATCAACAACAACAAAAGATTTAATTCAAGATTTGGAACACAATAGGTAATTTGTATTGTTAGATATAAATGTTTCAACTGCAAATACCTATTATTCTTTCAAGTTCCAGCATTTGTCCTTGTCCTTCCAGTTCAAGCAACCATGCTGGTAGCTTGGGGTATGAGCTTCCTTGCATTTCTACCGTCAATGCACAAAAGCAACATTTACAGATTACGGCATTTGGCGTCGAAACGCATTTCGAATTATGCTCCTTTCTTCATATGCCACATCTTGGGCGTTTACACTAAACTCGCAGCCTAACAGCCATATTTTTGCATGAGTAATCATCAGCAAGGTGCTATTCATTTCTAAAACATTAGTTTCTGAGATGTTTTAAATAAAATGTTGATGCAATACAAAATGTTTAAAAGACATCATTGTGTAATACAAGTTGCTGTTAAAATTAATAAAATTTGCATTTTTGTAATTATGCTTTTTGGGATTTTTTTTTAATGTATTCTGAAAAAAATCTGTATTTAACCTGCTCCCTTCCTCAGGGAGCGTGTACGTCTGAGATCTTTTAGTTGAAAAATGCTGATGCAAAAATTACCTTTACCCCTCGAATTCGCTGAAAATAAATTTAACTCGGTTATTACCCTGTTATCTGTTGTTTATCATGTCCGACATTTATTCTGATGCTTATTGCAAGAAACTAAGTATCTTAATTATTACCTAAACCATTTTGAAATAAAATATGCTTGCGTTGCTCTAATGCAGGTATAAATATCTATATATAAATCTAATGTAAGGGATGTTTTCTTCTTTCTATGTATCTTGTCTTTGATTCTAATATTTCGTGAAATACATTTTTTTTTCCACAACGGCACATCTTTCCTGAATTCTAATGCTTATCAGCCGTGTATCGAGTTTCAATACACTAGCCTTTCTGTTGAGACATAATGAGCCTTTTGAATCTTGATACCTAAGAAAATCATTCGAAGAACTGCCAAATCATGTTCACGAGAACCACCCTATTATTACCAAAGTGAGTTTTCTTTCGCTTTTGGAGAAGGATAGGAAACTATGCTCTGGATTTATAAAGAACATGAATTAGGAGCTATCAAATTTGATTTCCATTCATAATATACTGCAGAAAGGAGGAAAAAGAGAAAGTTTTCTAGGCTTAAACTAAAATGAGAAGCCGCAGAAAAAATATTCTTTAAATGATTCAGAGAAAAGGTAGCTTTTGCCGTACATTGAAAGTGGAATTAATGAAAGTGTTTTAAAATATAATTTTATTATTTTTATTGAAAAGCATTTGACTTAAATAAATAACTGGTAATTTTTAATTTGTTTTCAATCATCAAAAATTATTCGGAACGTAGAAGAATATGAATTTAAAGCATATAAATAAAAGCACAAAAAAAAAAAAACTAACATACTATTCTGTATTAAAAGTAAAAAAGAGCACAGTGTAGACAAAAAGGACACTGTCAAGAAAATAGGTCTATTGCATTCGAAATTACGGCGTTCTCATTTGCATATTGTATCATCAAGATCACAGTTTATACCACATTTCTTTCTTATGTTTAAAAAATAACATTTCTTGCCTATTCCCGTTTAACTTTCAACGATAATACTTTTTTCGGTCTTGGATTCAGATCTTAGTTGGACACCAGGTCTTTACGTAACTAAAACACTTTTCAAAAGTAAATTGTTTCCGAAGATGAGGAAACTATCTTTGAATCGCTCTCGAAATTGATAGAAATTTTATTTGAAATTTCAGCCAATTTAAAGACTTTTTATTCTTATTTTGAATCATCTAAAATGTTTGCAATTTGTTACGTTTACTTGATTTTTTTCTTCTTTATTTGTGTGATTACTAATGAAATGTACGAAAAAAAAAGTTCAGCTATTCTCTGTTGCATCTTATTTACTGTAAATAACAGTGCTATAAATATTTGATGGCAGTTTTGAGATTTAATGTTTTATACATTCTGTATTAAAAAACATTCACTTCTGTACATCATTAAAGTTTAAACAATAATTTTAAATTAAATTTTAAAAAATGCTTAAAAAATCTGAAAGCTTCCAGATT